CCACTCCTTTTGGTTCAGATCTGGTTCAGTTTATGGTTCAAGATTGATCCTTGAAAATATGATTTTCTAAATGGGAAATACGATTCCCAGTTGAAGGGAGAGATAAAATTTGTGAAATTCGCCCCTTATTCCGCAATCTTTGGGCGTCCATAGGATGGATCTCTCATCCCTTCAGATTTGTATGCTTTGACAAGAGTTAGCTTCAATTTGAGACGGAGGATGAACCATCCCCCATCTCTGTTGAAAAGTGGCTGCAGGTTTTTGCGTTGTGTATTTGTCTCTGTGGCATGTTTTCTTGGAATTCTTTTGCTGTAGTTTTAGTTTTCTTTATTTATTTCTGTTTGGTGCTGTTTTCTTTCTTGTATTCTTGTTTCTTTCTGCTGTTGTAAGGAAAAGAAAAAAAAAAGTAGAAGAGGTATCCCCAATGTGCGACTGAATGAACAGGACCAACAAGGTGTCATGGTCAGCAGAGATCCGAAAACACTTTATCAAACTCTCACTATGTGTTTGGAAGCGTGGTTCTTTTTTTTTTTTTTTCATTCAATGATTTGTACTTTATTTGCTTGCAAAACTGAGAAAGGTAATAATTGCAACCGTTTATGACAACTATGCACCACTAGGCACTACATCAGCATAACAGTGAAAAAAAAAATTAACCATAAGGGGAAAGCTTTCAAAAATAACTTTTCTAAATGGTAAGCATGGATGGAAACCAAAGTCATCTTTTGTTATTCTCGATACATATAGAAGAGCATGAGAGGGAAAATACTGAAGCAGCGTTTATTGAAAAAAAAAAACTCACGCTTCCAAACACATACTAAGCTTGAAAAGTCCTCCATGAACATGAAAAACAAGAGAGATTGATCTACCCTAATGAATTTTGAGTGATTTATAAATGTAAGTTGCTGAATCAGCCATATTGCAAAAGGAGAAATATAATTAGAGTTTGCCTACCTATCAAAATGAGATCACATTTCCGCCCCACAAGGGGCCACCCCACAACCACATTGGGAATATCACTCGATGATGATATCATTGTCAGTGGTACTATCATTGGGAGATGTTCTCAATACACCGCCGAGAAGTGCTGTGGGGCGGCTCCTTGTGGGGCGGAGATGTGAACTCTCAAAATAAAATAACTAGAATTAATTTGCCTCTTTTGTCTCCTATTGGATTCTTTTCTTACAGTTAGGAGAATAAAAGTACTACTCTCTATCGGAATTAATTTCTTTAGGGAAAGAATATCAGAACTTTGACATTTGACTGCACAAGAAAAGTACTAAATTGGATGCTTTTCCTTGCTTCGATAAAAAGAAGATTCTTTGCCTTCACTTTGCTATTGATGAAGGGAAAATTACACAATTTGGCCCTTAATTGCTTAATTTACTGCTTTTGTCCTGTTAGGTTCAGGTATAAAGATTCCTGAACATGAATCATTCCAACATCCACCCTATACGTAGAAGCCATGTTCCTTAATTCACTACTTCATTTTACACATTTATGAAAGGATCATATTTTTAATTATGTTGAGAAAAAAAAAATAGTTTGATGGATCTCCTTGGGTAAATACGAAATGCCGTATACACCTAATTAGAATGACCAATGCAAAAGGCAAAAGGTGGTTGAGTGCATACTACGCATGTAGATCAACTGGGTATATATATATAATATATATAAGTCCTTGTGGAGTGTCTCTTAATACAACACTTTCTATTCAGTGAGCACTGTGTTGAACATTTGGAAGCCAAAGACAGAGAGATTGAATCCACTGAAGAGGTGATTGTGTTGTTTAGACTTGTGAGTAACAATGGAGGTACGCTGACAAATCTCTAATAAAGACTCTCTCTGGCCTTCTCTTTATTTATTTATTTTTTCTATTTCCTTGATATTTATATCCATTTATCATACATTGAAAATAGAGTACCCATTAATTAATTAGGGTGTAGATAATTAAAATTCCTTGATATTTATATCCATTTAACTTACAAAGTGAAACATGGAGTACCCATTAATTAATTAGGATGTAGTTAATTAAAATTCCACTACTTTGTTGAATATGTAGAGACATTTTTGGTAGTATTTGGGTTGGAAAAAGAAACCTGAGGATGCTAGAAAGACATGATCCCAGAAGAATTTTGACCAATCAAAACCCCACTCTAAATTACGATGAAAATCCACCTGATTAGTTATCATTTTATCACATCGGTTGGTTGATTATAAGTTTTTCCACTATCATGTCTTTCCACTATTATAGTCAAACCCAGTTGTATTTTCTTTCAACGAGGGTGTTGGAGGTTATAGAGGGGCTTATGTGTAATTCTACTATAACTACGTCTTTTGCTTATTTTAGCCATTGGTCGACATATGGGGTTAGAATTTAGCGATAGTATGGACATGAGGTTAATATTTCTCCAATACTACAACCAGTCAGAGACCTTACCAATATTTTCATTATCAAAAAAAGAAAAAAATGAAAACATAAAAATGCAGAAGTAATTTGGTAAAAGTAGAAGTCAAACCCACAATATCCAAATTACTACCACTTCAAATCAAACTAGTGGAGACTAGATAGGGATGACCATGGTTCATCGGTTCAATTTGGTTCCATGACAGAACTTAGAACCTACCTTGTTGTGGTTGGTTTTTTTTGAAACCGGAACCTACCCAATGAACATTGGTTCTAGGATTGGTTCTGGCCTTGGCATATTAGGGTCAGTTCTAGGGTCTACCTAGGGAACATGTTCTTTCGTCACTCTCCCCTTTAAAAAATGAAACATGTTCTTTAAAATCTTAATTAATTCCCAATAAATATAACATATAATTTAAAACATCTTTACTGATTAAATTGAGTAATATAATATGTATATTAGCATAATATATTGATGTATGGCTCAAAAGTCATCATTATATTCTAAATTTTGTAAATACTACCTTTTAACTATTATACACATTCAAAAGTTAAAATGAAAACACATGATCAAATCAATTAACATGGTGGTCAAGTGAGACCATGCCCTTTGTAACCATGAGGCTTGGGTTCAAATCTTTACATCCTCAAAACTATTTTGGGGCTGGTTTACTTCAATGCAAGTTCGGTTCCAAATCCAGCACTGCCAATTCCAATTAAGGTCGATTTGTCAGGTCAGTTCGGGTAGGATAAACCCCTAGACCCTTAACTATATTGGGTGGGGGTCAGTTCTAAGAGTTTGGAACTAGACCCTACCCTATAACATATTGGGTAGGGTCGGTTCAAGGCAATTTTGTGGTTAGTTCCATTCAATTTCGGGTAAAACCTACCCATTTGCTCAACCCTACTACCACATTCTTGGTAAAATTGTGAGAGCCAAAGAATTGATACTACCACCATTAGCCCAAGCCTTGATTTATACAACCGTAAATCATATTTGGCATTTGGTTAATTATTGGTCTCTTTAGTGAAATGCATTTTCTCTTAATAATGCTGACCTGATGTTTTAACTTTTAAATCCCCAGCTTAGAATATTGTCCCTAAACATGGAATGAAGTCACCAATTCCTCTATCCAATTGGTTTTTGAGTGATTTGCTAAATCAACTGATGTGGCAAAATGAGAAATATAATTGGAATTTTCTTCTTTAGGAAGCATTCTACAATATGAATGTTTTTGTTTTCACTTATTTTTGGAGTCACTTATTTTAGGAGGTGATTTGTTTTCACTTATTTTAGGAGGCGTTCTACAACTGAAGTGGCTAAATCAACTGAATGTGGCAAGTTGGTTTTGTTTCAAAAAACAATACATGCTTTTGGAACCATCGAAATAAAAGATTTTAAAACAAAAACAAATTTTTTAATATAGAAATTATATGATTTATGCAACATGATAATATAATATTAAGTAACCAAAGTGAAAATCATGTTTTTGAAACCAGAAACAAAAACAACTTTTTCTTTATCTATATCTATATCCATTTCAACTTAACTATAATTTTACATACATTAGGTATATTTATATTAAATTATAATAATAAAAAATAATTATATTGAAATGAAGATATTCAATGATACATTATTAGTCCAAATAATGCACTTCAACTTAAAAGATAATTAATTTTTAAGTTAATTAATTAATAAATTTATATTTGAGGATGAATATTATTTAATTCACTCAACAAATAAAACCCAGTGTTTTAAAAATCGATATGCATGGAAGCTGAATAGTTATTAACTCCAAGTCACAGTAAACGGTTCAACTCTCATTAAAGTGTTACTTGAATTGTGATTAAATGAACTAGACATAATCCAAAAAATGCTTGAATTGGACTCAAATGAATAATGTTTAATTGGAAATGTCATAAATTTCCTTTCTCAATTTTTCTTAATAAAACACATGCATAGCATGAGTCCCGACTAGTGTGTAATAGAGAGAGAGAGAAAGAGAGAGAGAATGATAACTCATTGGCTTTATCCACGTGGAGTGTTTTCCTAATAATTTTTTCTTTTCATTATTCAGTGATAATTGTGTTGGATATCTAGAAGCTAAGGCAAAGAGATTGAACAAGTTATTGTAACGATTGTTGATTGTGTTGATTTTGAAAATTGAGAGAAGCCAACTAAGATACACCGTAAGTCTAAAGAGTTTCCTCATCTTTCATGTTTATCTCCTTGATATCTTTATCTATATCTATATTTGTGCTAGTGGAAATATATAGTTTATCTCTCTCCTCTTATCCTTGTGCAAAAGAATTATCACATAAATACAATGACATTAGCATTTTGTTTATTACGCATTAACAGAAATTATTATCATGAACTTAGGCACTAAGTATCATATTTAAGTTTGAATTTATTCCAATCCCTTTTCTAGGCTCATTCTTCAATTAATTCTAGGAATTAGTTCCACATGTAGATACATGGTGGTCAGTAAGACCATCATAGTACAGAAAGTGTCAAACCAACACTATAAGAACGCTTGCAATGAACCCTAAACCCATCACATGATTGTGATGAGTTCATCACAAGATCCACGATTGCAATGAACTAATACCCGGACAGGCAACAATGAACTTCGTCTAGCACGAATCTACGATAAAACTAAGACACACGCAGGCTTGCAATGAACCCGACACCACTATAGAATCGTAAAATCACGATATATTGGGAATAAATGCTGGATACACGTGTATATTTAAATTATGCATGTAGGTTCAATAAAAGTACTCCCACCAAATGATGACGTCACCCATGCCACATCAGTATAACAGGGTCACATACAAAGAGAATCCGAAAGTGATTGGATTCTCTCATAATGATCCTTTAATAAGATCTCCTCCCCTAACCAGAAAGATCATCTTTCCTAACAGAATAGAACTCCTTCCTTGATAGTCTTAACTCTCTCTATAAAAGAGAGAGAGAAATTCTTCCCCAAGGGGAGACATATACAGCCTGGACCTAGGGTTTCTCACAAGGGGACTCTCCCCTCTCTCCTCTCTTCTCCTCTCTTCTCCTCTCTTCTCCACCTCCTCTCTCATCCCTGTCGCCATCTCCAGACCTTCGGAGACTAACCGACTACCAGGAGTCTACCGTGAAAACACCATGAATAGATTAAAATATAATAATTTTTTTCTTAGAACTCATTGCTCAACTAATGATTATTCAAAGTAGAACTGAAACCAAATATAGCATTTCCATTTATCTAAGAAAATGAGACATGGAGTACCTACTAATTAGAATGTTTTCAATTTTTAAAGTCCTACTACTTTGCTAAATATACAAAGAAATATATTGTACTAGTAGAGACCCATGTGATGCACGGGAAAATCTGAAAGATTTAATAATTTTATTTTTCATTTAATGTTGATTTATAAAAAATAATTATTGTTAATTGAATATGAACAAATATATTTTAATAAATTTAGTTTTATTAATAATTTATATTAGTTTTAATATTTTTTATTCTTTTTATTATTTTTAAATAAAATTTTGATTAAATTTAAACAAATAAAAATAATTATAAAATCTAACATTTTTATTAATTCCACTAATATTAACAATTATATAGGAATGACAACGGGGTGGGTTCAGTGCAGGGCACCACATCCCTTTCCCCGCCCCATAGTCAAGACACTCTACCCCATCCCCGCCTTGTCCCTAGTGTCACGAGGGTTTAGGGCAAGGTAACCACTCCTCAATGTTGGGCGAGTTCAGGGGCAAGGCACCCCACTCCTCATCAAGGATGAGCAATCTTCAAATTTCCCTACCTGTCCCCAGTATTGGGGGGGGGGGGGGTTCAAGTAGAGCTGTAAATTGGGTCGTGCTGGGTCAGTACGACACGACCCGCATGTGGCTCACACAAAGTGCGAGTTGTGTCATGCTGGTCCACGAGGCGTCTCGGGTCATGCCTCCCTCCTTCTAGGATAATTTGGGGGGACGGTTTGGCATGGTCCACGACCCATGTCGTGCCACAGGTCGGGCCTTGGGCCAGGCCATGCCACACACCAAGCCAAGCTCAAGGCAAGGCACCCACTCCCCGTCCAAGGTTTTTAAAATTGGCCCAAATAGAGACCTGTTCTAGGGTCGAACAGTCTAACTGTTCAATCCAAACGGATGACCTGCTTTGACAAAAAAATAAAAATTAGAAAAACAAATAAAAGGCCAAAAACTATTGTCTGGGTTGATGGTTTGACCACCCAGGTCAGTGGTTCGCTAACCAAATAAAACAGTTTTTGGACAAAAGGTGGTTTTGAGGTGAAACGGGTCCGGATCCCAGTTTTTAATTTTTTATATTTTTTGCATCTTATCTAATTTTGAATTTTGTGATTTAACTGTAGAAAAATAGATTGGCCCATTTGACCTAAAATGGTTTGATCTCTTACCACCACTAGATGAAAACACTACTTTTTCAAGTAGATTTAAAAGTATAAGTTTTTATGTTATTGGAATTATTAATTTATTATATATAGATTTAATTAATAGAATTTAATGATGAGGAGAAACAAAAATGCCTTAAATATATGATTCAATGAAGGCAAATGCAAGTTAATACCTTAAATGTTGGATTTAATGAGAGGGAATTGAATGAATTGAATATATGACTTTTCAACTATTTAATATCAATCACCAATTATCCTATTTGTCCTCATTTTTATCAATAATTTAAATATAGAGGGGATGCTTGCTGGGACCAGTGTTTGAAGTAGTTGGGCAGCATGTTAATTGTGTGTTTAAGGTCAAGGCAAACATTGAGCAGCTCACGAAGCAAGTCGGTGAACTGGAGAAAACCAAAGAATCTGTTGAAAACTTGAAAAGGGAAGCAGAGAAGAAAGGAGAAGACATCAAGGAAAATGTTATGAAATGGCTTGAAGAAGTGAAGTCTGTTATAAATGAAACAAATATTTTCATTGGTAATGCTATGGAGAATGGCAGTTGCTTTAAGGGCTTGTATCCTAACTGTGGCTCACGCTACCAATTAAGTAAGAAAGCAGGGGAGATGATGAACCGCATTAAAGAGCTTCAACAAAGCGGCATGTTTGATGTTGTATCTGATCCAACTCCTCCTCTTGATATGGCATATATGCGTGATAGTGATTTTCACATGTTTAAATCCAGAGAGTTGGCAAGGAAGGAAGTCATAGAGGCATTAAAATCTGAAAACACCCATGTCGTCGGTATTTATGGGATGAGAGGTGTGGGCAAAACAACTCTGGTAAAGGAAATAGGTGACCAACTGCAGAGAGAGAAGCTTTTCGACAAGGTCGTGATGGCTGTGGTGTCTCAAGATCCAAACATGAAACAGATTCAAGGTCAAATTGCGGAGATGTTAGGCTTGAAATTGGATGGAGAAGGAAGTGTTTTCGGAAGAGCAAAGATGCTATCAGGAAGGTAGGAGAAAGAGAAGAGTGTTGTTGTTATCTTAGATGATATTTGGGACAAGCAAGATTTGAAGCAATTGGGGATCCCTTTGGATTTGGATGACAACAAACAGAGGGAGAGGAGGGGGTGCTGCAAAATCCTACTCACAACCCGAAGCAAAGATGTATGCGATGTGATGGTGGAGAGGAACGCAATTATTCGCCTTGACATCTTATCAGAAGAGGAAGCTTGGGGTTTGTTTAAAAGGAAAGTGGGTGATGGGGTGGAACAGGGAGATTTTCATAAATGGCAAGGGAGGTGGTTAAGGAGTGCAAGGGTTTGCCTGTAGCAATTGTAACAATTGCTGGAGCACTAAGACACAAGAAAGATTTACAAGAATGAAAGGATGCATTGGAGGGACTTAAAAGGGTTGAACCTCAGTCTGTGCAGGGAATAGACCAACAAGTGTACACATGTGTGAGATGGAGTTACGATTATCTGGACAATGTGGAAACCCAACGCTTCTTCCTGTATTGTTGTCTGTTTCCTGAGGATTATGAGATCGAAATCGAGCAAATGATGTGGTATTGTTTTGGAGCGGGAGTATTTGTAAATGTTGAAACAATTGAAGATGAAAGGTGCAGAACTCGTAGGATTGTGAATAAGCTCAAAGCGTCTTCTCTGTTGTTGCAAGGAGAGAGCCCGGATTTCATCAAAATGCATGATATAGTTCGTGATGTGGCCATCTCAATCGTATCACCGTGTGTTGCTGTTGGTAATAGATCTCATCATGATGAACTATTCATGGTCAGAGCTGGTAAAGGACTGACGGAGTGGCCAAGAATGGAATCCGGGATTACCAAAGCTGCAGCAGGTTACACAGCCATCTCGTTGATGAATAATGATATACAGAAGCTGCCTGCAGCTGATGGATTATTGGAATCATCATCTTCAGGGCGGCTAAGGACTTTGTTGTTGCAAAAGTATTTTAAGTCAGAATTGGAAATTCCAAATACTTTCTTTGGAGGGGTGATCAAATCACTTACAACACTGGATCTGAGTAAGAATGATATCATTGGTCCCAGCAGCCTATCACCGATCCAGTGCTTGACAAATCTCCGTACGTTAAATCTAGGAGGATGCACGGGGTTACAACAAGAGATATCTGTACTTGGATCTTTGAAGCAACTTGTGATTCTCAGACCAAGTGGCTGTAATCTCGAAAGGTTGCCGCCGGATATGGCACAGTTGACCAAGCTAAGGCTGCTGGATTTATCAAACAATGAAGGTCTGATTATACCACCCAATGTGATATCAAGCTGGTCCCATCTGGAAGAACTATACCTGTTTGGGAGCTTTTGCGAGTGGGAGAAGGTTCAAGGAATCACAACGGGAGAAGAGCAGAGAGCAGCAGCTAGTTTGGCAGAGTTGAAATCATTGCATGGCCTCACCACTCTACAGGTAATGGTAGAGGTAAAAAATTCTTCCAAAAGTTTGCCAGATGGTTTTGTTTTCCATGACCAGAAAAGATTTTTTATAGTAATGTATGGTGATGATGCCAATGGTACTATGAATTATTATGGTGGTGATTGGTTTTCAAACAGCCCAGTAAAAGGGTTAGTTTTCAAAAACCTGCCAGCCCAAACAACCAAAGTTGTATGTTCCAATCAATTACAAAGAACACAAGTATTGGAATTGTATGATTGCAAAGGTGTAAGAAGTATTATGGAGGAATTAGATGATAAGATGGGGTTTAATTGTTTGGAGGCTCTTACTATATGCGGATGCAATGAGGTGGAATATCTCTGGCCCACTCATCCCATTTCGATCATTGCAAAATCTTCACAGCTGGCTGTCTTCACTAATTTGGAGAAATCACATATTGAATCCATGCAAGTCCTCAAAGGAATAATCTGTCCTGCAGCTGGCCCACTCCCACTTGAGTCCTTGGCCAAACTTAAACATTTACATGTGCTTAGATGCCCTGGGTTACTCAATATTGTCACCCCCAACTTATACCCGAGCTTGCAAAAGTTAGAAACACTTAACGTGATTGACCGCTACAGTCTAGAAGAGATATTCCACTTTGAAGGAATCCTTTCTGATGATCATCATCAATCATCAAGGACAAGCAGCAGCTCCAATTGTGCTCAGTTATGGTTTATTAGAATATTTGAATTTTGCATCTCTACCGAAATTGACAAACATATGGAGTGGCTCCCCTCACCTTCTCGTGAATTTTCCTGCCCTAAATACCCTTCACCTATAAAGTTGCCAAAGTTTGAGAAGCATCTTTTCATGCCCAAGTTTAAACTGCCTTTCCTCATATCAAGGTGCTTCCAATTTAGAGAGGCTTAGCGTGTATGATTGCTCCACTCTGGAAGTGATATTCCACTTTGAAGGGATCCTTTCTGATGATTATCATTAAGGATAAGCAGCAGCTCCAATTGTGCTCAGTTATGGTTTATTTAAATATTTGAAATTGAGATCTCTACCGAAATTGACAAACATATGGAGTGGCTCCCCTCAGCTTCTCATGAATTTTCCAGCCCTATATACCCTTAACCTAGAAGGTTGCCAAAGTTTGAGAAACATCTTTTCATGCCCAAGTTTAAAATGCCTTTCCTCATATCAAGGTGTTCCCAATTTAGAGAGGCTTAGCATGTATGATTGCCCCAGTCTGGAAGAGATATTCCACTTTGAAGGGATCCTTACTGATGATCACTATTAAGGACAAGCAGCAACTCCAATTGTACTCAGTTATGATTTAGTAGAGGTTAAATTGAGATCTCTACTGAAATTGACAAGCATATGGAGTGGCTCCCCTCAACTTCTCGTGAATTTTCCTAACCTAAATACTCTTGACCTAAATGGTTACCAAAGTTTGAGAAGCATATTTTCATGCCCAAGTTTAAAATGTCTTTCCTCATATCAAGGTGCTCCCAATTTAGAGACTCTTTGCGTGTATGATTGCTCCAGTCTGGAAAAGATATTCCACTTTGAAGGGATCCTTTTTGATGATCATTACCAAGGACAAACAGCAACTCCAACTGTGCTCAGTTAAGATTTAGTAGAGGTTAAATTGAGATCTCTACCGAAATTGACAAGCATATGGAGTGGCACCCCTCAGCTTCTCGTGAATTTTCCTCCCGTAAATACCCTTGCCTTGGATGGTAGCCAAAGTTTGAGAAGCATCTTTTCATACCCAAGTTTAAAATGCCTTCCCTCATATCAAGGTGTTCCCAATTTAGACAGGCTTAGCGTGTATGATTGCTCCAGTCTGGAAGAAATAGTCCTTTTTGAAGGGTTCCTTTCTGATGATCATTATCAAGGACAAGCAGTAACTCCAATTGTGCTCAATTATGATTTAGTAGAGGTTAAATTGAGATCTCTACCGAAATTGACAAGCATATGGAGTGGCTCCCCTCCACTTCTCGTGAATTTTCTTGCCCTAAATACCCTTGCCCTGGATGGTTGCCAAAGTTTGAGAAGCATCTTTTCATGCCCAAATTTAAAATGCCTTTCCTCATATCAAGGTATTCACAATTTGGAGAGGCTTATCGTGTATGATTACTCCAGTTTGGAAGACATATTCCACTTTGAAGGGATCCTTTCTGATGATCATTATCAAGGACAAACAGCAACTCGAATTGTGCTCAATTATGATTTATTAGACGTTAAAATGAGATCTCTACCGAAATTGACAAGCATATGGAGTGGTTACCCTCAGCTTCTCGTGAATTTTCCTTCCCTAAATACCATTGCCCTGGATGGTTGCCAAAGTTTGAGAACCATCTTTTCATGCCCAAGTTTAAAATGCCTATTCTCATAAAAAGGTGTTCCCAATTTAGAGAGGCTTAGCGTGTATGATTGCCCCAGTCTAGAAGAGATATTCCACTTTGAAGGGATCCTTTCTATTGATCAATATTAAGGACAAGCAGCAACTCCAATTGTACTCAGTTATGATTTAGTAGCGGTTAAATTGAGATCTCTATCGAAATCGACAACCATATGGAATGGCTCCCCTCAACTTCTCATGAATTTTCCTAACCTAAATCCTTTTACCTAAATGGTTACCAAAGTTTGAGAAGCATATTTTCATGCCCAAGTTTAAAATGACTTTCCTCATATCAACCTGCTCCCAATTTAGAGACTCTTTGTGTGTATGATTGCTCCAGTCTGGAAGAGATATTCCACTTTGAAGGGATCCTTTTTGATGATCATTATCAAGCACAAGCAGCAACTCCAACTGTGCTCAGTTATGATTTAGTAGAGGTTAAATTGAGATCTCTACCGAAATTGACAAGCATATGGAGTGGCTCCCCTCAACTTCTCATGAATTTTCCTACCCTAAATACCCTTGCCTTGGATGGTTGCCAAAGTTTGAGAACAATCTTTTCATACCCAAGTTTAAAATGCCTTCCCTCATATCAAGGTGTTCCCAATTTAGAGAGCCTTAGTGTGTATGATTGCTCCAGTCTAGAAGAGATAGTCATTTTTTAAGGGTTCCTTTCTAATGATCATTATCAAGGACAAGTAGCAACTCCAATTGTGCTCAATTATGATTTAGTAGAAGTTAATTTGGAATCTCTACCGAAATTGACAAGCATATGGAGTGGCTCCCCTTAGCTTCTCGTGAATTTTCCTGCCCTAAATACCCTTGCCCTGGATGGTTGCCAAAGTTTGAGAAGCTTCTTTTCATGCCCAAGTTTAAAATACTTGGAGAGGCTTAGCGTGTATGATTGTTCCGGTCTAGAAGACATATTCCACTTTGAAGGGATCCTTTCTGATGATCATTATCAAGGACAAGCAGCAACTCCAATTGTGCTCAGTTATGATTTATTAGACGTTAAATTGAAATCTCTACCGAAATTGACAAGCATATGGAGTGGCTCCCCTCAGCTTCTCGTAAATTTTCCTGCCCAAAATACCATTGCCCTGGATGGTTGCCAAAGTTTGAGAAGCATCTTTTCATGCCCAAGATTAAAATGCCTTTCCTCATATCAAGGTGTTCCCAATTTAGAGAGGCTTAGCGTGTATGATTGCCCCAGTCTGGAAGAGATATTCCACTTTGAAGAGATCATTTCTGATGATCACTATTAAGGACAAGCAACAACTCCAATTGTGCTCAGTTATGATTTGGTAGAGGTTAAATTGATATCTCTACTGAAATCGACAAGCATATGGAGTGGCTCCCCTCACCTTCTTGTGAATTTTCCTAACCTAAATACCCTTGACCTAAATGGTTACCAAAGTTTGAGAAGCATATTTTCACGGCCAAGTTTAAAATGTCTTTCCTCATATCAAGGTGCTCCCAATTTAGAGACATTTTGCATGTATGATTGCTCCAATCTGGAAGAGATATTCCATTTTGAAAGGATCTTTTTTGTTGAACATTATAAAGGACAAGTAGCAACTCCAATGGTGCTCAGTTATGATTTAGTAGAGGTTAAATTGAGATCTCTACCGAAATTGACAAGCATATGGAGTGGCTCCCCTCAGTTTCTCATAAATTTTCCTCCCCTAAATACCCTTGCCTTGAATGGTTGACAAAGTTTGATAAGCATCTTTCCAAACCCCAGTTTAAAATGCCTTCCCTCATATCAAGGTGTTCCCAATTTAGAGAGGCTTAGCGTGTATGATTGCTCCAGTCTTGAAGAGATAGTCATTTTTGAAGGGTTCCTTTCTGATGATCATTATCAAGGACAAGCAGCAACTCCAATTGTGCTCAATTATGATTTAGTAAAGGTTAAATTGAGATCTCTACCAAAATTGACAAGCATATGGAGCGGCTCCCCTCAGCTTCTCGTGAATTTTCCTGCCCTAAATACCCTTGCCCTGGACAGTTGCCAAAGTTTGAGAGGTATCTTTTCATGCCCAAGTTAAAAATGCCTTTCCTCATATCAAGGTGTTCCCAATTTGGAGGGGCTTAGCGGGTATGATTGCTCCAGTCTGGAAGACATATTCAACTTTGAAAGGATCCTTTCTGATGATCATTATCAAGGATAAGCAGCAACTTCAATTGTGCTCAGTTATGATTTATTAGAGGTTAATTGAGATCTCTACAAAAATTGACAAGCATATGGAGTGGCTCCCCTCAGTTTCTTGTTAATTTTACTACCCTAAATACCATTGCCTTGGATGGTTGCCAAAGTTTGAGAAGCATCTTTTCATGCCCAAGTTTAAAATGCCTTTCCTCATATCAATGTGTTCCCAATTTATTGAGACTTAGCGTGTATGATTGCCCTAGTCTAGAAGAGATATTCCACTTTGAAGGGATCCTTTCTGATGATCATTATCAAGGACAAGCAGTAACTCCAATTGTGCTCAGTTATGATTTAGTGGAGATTAAATTGAGATCTCTATCGAAATCGACAAGCATATGGAGTGGCTCCCCTTAACTTCTCGTGAATTTTGTGCTCCCAATTTAGAGAGTCTTTGCGTGTATGATTGCTCCATTCTGGAAGAGATATTCCACTTTGAAGGGATCCTTTTTGATGATCATTATCAAGGACAAGCAGCAACTCCAATTGTGCTCAGTTATGATTTAGTAGAGGTTAAATTGAGATCTCCACCGAAATTGACAAGCATATGGAGTGGCTCCCCTCAGCTTCTCGGGAATTTTCCTACCCTATATATCATTGCCTTGGATGGTTGCCAAAGTTTGAGAACGATCTTTTCATGCCCAAGTTTAAAACGCATTTCCTCATATCAAGGTGTTCCCAATTTAGAGAGGCTTAGCGTGTATGATTGCCGCAGTTTAGAAGAGATATTCCACTTTGAAGGGATCCTTTCTGATGATCATTATCGAGGACAAGCAGCAACTCCAATTGTGCTCAGTTATGATTTAGTAGAGGTTAAATTAAGATCTCTACCGAAATTGACAAGCATATGAAGTGGCTCCCCGTAGCTTCTCGTGAATTTTCTTGCCTTAACTACCCTTACCCTGGATAGTTGCCAATGTTTGAGAAGCATCTTTTCATGCCCAAGTTTAAAATGCTTTTCCTCATATCAAGGTGTTCCCTATTTAGAGAGGCTTAGCATGTATGATTGCTCCAATCTTGAAGAGATATTCCACTTTGAAGGGATCTTTTCTGATGATCATTATCAATGACAAGCAACAACTCCAATTGTGCTCAGTTATGATTTAGTAGAGGTTAAATTGAGATCTCTTTCGGAATTGACAAGCATATGGAGTGGCTCCTCTCAGCTTCTCAGGAATTTTTCTGCTCTAAATACCCTTGCCCCGGATGGTTGCCAAAGTTTGAGAAGCATCTTTTCATGCCCAAGTTTAAAATGCCTTTCCTCATATCAAGGTGCTCCCAATTTAGAGACTCTTTACCTGAATGATTGTTCCAGTCTAGAAGAGATATTCCACTTTGTACGGATCCTTTCTGATGATCATCATCAAGGACAAGCAGCAGATCCAATTGTGCTCAGTTATGGTTTATTAAACTATTTGGAATTGACATCTCTACCGAAATTGACAAGCATATGGAGTGGCTCCCCTCAGCTTCTCGTGAATTTACCTGCCCTAAATACCCTTCACTTGAATGGTTGCCAAAGGTTGAGAAGCATTTTTTCAGTTGCCATGATTCCAAGCCTTGCACAACTTGAATGTCTTCCAATTCGAGATTGTCAAAAATTAGAGGAAATTATTGCCAAGGGCAAGGAGGATGAAGCTGACTTATGTACTACTCATCATGATCCACCCCAGTTGCATTTGCAGTTGGTTGGCCTTAAAGAGCTGTTAATCCGTTCATTCCCCATAATCAAATGCCTTGGTCTAGGTGCTCCAAAATTGGAAACACTTGTGAAAGAAGGTTGCCCTCTGCTAGAGGAAATTGTTGATAAAGAGGAAGGCAAGGATGTAATATTATTCCCAAATGTAAGATTCTTAACAGTGAGCTATTGGCCTAGGCTGTTGAGAACTCCCTTTGGCTTTGCTACTCCATCTCTTTTTCAAGCTCATCCTCTCTGTCTTATAGCCCCGTCTAACCTACGATGGGTGACACTATGTCCACATATTTCAACAAGGGACAGTGAAAAAGATCACTACTGCTGTTATGTCCATAGATTCTTGTGAGGGATGGCAAAAACGCAAGTTCCAACCTCTGCAATTTAGGGAATATTATTGCAATCTTATCCGCAGCATCCTCAAAAATTTCTTCCACGGAACTGCATTCATACACTTTGAGCCATTCTAATTGTAGAAGAGCGCGAACTATGGTGGCTGAGAAGATATTTCTATATCCATGAAATCCACCCAAGTTGAGCAAATAAACTCCTCCATTGGCACTTCATTAGAAAAATGAATGGAAAGTGCCTCAGTATTCATCCTCAGTTATTCTTTGCAGCAAATTAAAGAAGATGCCAAACAAACTCAACCTTAGGCAAAAGAAAGCTTTCTACATTACCCAAAAATTGAATATTAAGGCACTATACTTTCTATGGAAATAATCTACAAAAGCAACAAAAAATCAAGAGGAATCCAAAGAAAATTTGGTGAAGAAAATGTTAATTAAGGTGACAAACTAGTCAACTTAGAGGCAGTACAGACATAAACCACTCTAGTGAGAGAGGGGACATGAGTCATGGGCTCCCTAAAGAAGCTTGATCAAGTCTGGTTCTTTTTTTTTTTCTTGGGATGTTTGGATCACCATCATCCTCATTCCGAGTATATGGGGTCAGCTAACTGAATCCTGTTTTGTCACTCCATTCTGTTCAATGTCATTACAGGGCATTCCTAACAGATGCCATGAAACTAGCTTTCAAAATTTATATTTAAAAGCTTGTATCAGAATTCAAACTTGTGAGAGAAACCATTTTCCTTTATTTGAATGCCAAAGAGAAATACAAATGGGAAAAAAAAGAAAAGAAACACAGTTTCTTTGAAAAAGCAATAAGAAAGGACCCTTACAATCTCCATAAATCAGTAATGTCAACAAATCAATAACTAATTTGATTATCCACAGCTTTGATACTAACCTACTTCAGCCAACAATCTTCTCTCTGCATCTGAGGTCAGATTCATCAGCCAATAACCCCCATATGGTGCATTCATTAATGACAGTTCTAGTTATATAGGATTTTCTGCAGTATTAAGCCTTATGGAACAAGCAACCTGATCAGTATGGTTTAATTTTCCAATGAACTTGTTTACTAATGAATGAGTTATGCACAAAGTTACAGCTTAAGGGGCCATTGCTTGGGCTGACAAGCCTGAGAGCAGCTTCAAGTTTGAGAATAAAGTAGAAGTCAAAGGTTAGGTCCATACTTGGTCCACACCATCCAAGACCCTGGAGAGCAATGACCAACATCAGAAAAGACCATTACCCAGTGTTGGTTCCAGCTTTCTGGGGTCTTGGCCTTGGGAGATAACTGTGACTTCACACATACAGAAGAATGGAGGAAACAGATTTGCATAAAGCTGTAACAGATCTTTTTGTCAATTATGAGACCTTCTGTAATACATGGAACGATGAAGAATTGCTTAAATTCACTTATCAGAATCCTTATTTTACCCAATTTGGAACCTCGGGATGCTTTTAACATATAAAGCTCCCATCTATTCAACACTACTGGTTGTGTAAATTAAGCTCATCATTTCAAAGAAATAGATAGCTAGTAGATACGAGAAAAACATATGGTTTTTCATTTTTTTCAGTAGTTTTACTTTTACAATTCATTTCATCATGTCGAAATTAGGAGTTCCCAATTGGCCACATATCTCATCACATAAACAACCATTCTCACCTCAATTTCCATTTTTTTCCCCTTTCTTATCATTCTCTGCTTTCACCATTTTAAGGTGAATCAGGATTCTAGAATTTGAAATTTGGTTTCCACATTTTCAGAATTAAAGGTATTGTTCTACTTTACAAATAACTAAGTATTTATAGCTCTAACCCAACCGATACCTTTCTGTTGCAATGTTTCAGCTTCTTAGATTAGATAGTCTAAAATTTATAGGTTTTTTCTTTTAATAGTTTGAATGTTGTTCCTCTATTACTATTAAAGTGTGTGTTTTGCCCAAAATTACTAAATATTCGTTGGAACATTGGTGAAGTAGAGGCTAGTTTAGCCAGGTGCATGTGGGGTGCCTAACACCTTTCCACATCCTATCTTGGTCCCCGAACTCAAAGAATCTCCATCCCACTAGGCAATGAGTTTTCAAGAAAAAAAATTCTGTACTTAAAAAATCTTGGGTTTTCCTAAATTCCCAATTCCCAAAAATTTAGGTGGCGACTCCATATCCATATTTTTCCGTCCCCCCTCCGAGTCGGGTAGCCACACCACACATACCCATCCCAGTGTTACTCAAAGAACTTATAATGAGCTCTACCCTCACTAGGACTCTATTGTTATAATTCTAGTTGAACTAAACTCCCAACCAGAATCCTAATGCAAACCAACTTCTTAGATGTAACACTCTCCTCTTATCTAAGGGTGCAAATTCCTTATTGGCAATCCCCAAAATTGTAGTATCACTTTCAACCTCCCTATATATTGAGTATGTTGGCATACTACAATCCTAAGGATTCCTAAAGTCCAAGGGTAAAAAAGTCTTTGCACCTAAGTGATCTTATTTACTAATAGTGATCAATATATCCTATGATGGGTCAAACTTAGCTAACATTAGTATGTATAATATACACACTCACATTGTAGTCTGGAAAGCAGATGATGGACAATTTGGTTATTACTTCGGAGATGTTTCATTTCCTTAACTCTCATAAGAGGGGTATGATGTAGCCCTAAAATTGGACATGTATAAAGCTTATGATAAATTAGAGTGGTCTTATCTCATCGGAGTCCTTAGATGTTTAGGGTACTCCCTGGACTTTTGCTAGCGCATCAAAAATTGTGTCTCCTTAGTTTCCTTTTTTGTCCTTATTAATGGAGAAGCTAAAGGTCATTTTAACCCATCAAGAGGCCTTAAGCAAGGAGACCCTCTATCCCCTACCTTTTCGTCTTAGCCATGGAAGGTCTATCGAAGTTGTTAATGAAATATGAAATTGAAGGAAAGATTCAAGGAATCGAAATGTCTCTTGATGGCCCCTAAATTTTTCATATTTTCTTTACTAATGACATCATGCCTTTTATGCGAGCTCATAGGGAGTAAATAGAAAATTTAAAAGAAATCCTTGAACAGTTCAAGTCTTTGTCTGGTTAGAGCATCAACTTTGAAAAGTCTAGTATTTCTTTCAATAAGAACATGCACCCTAGACTCCAGAGAATGATGAGACACCGAATTAACATGAAACCTTTAGATCCTAGAACAAAGTACCTTGGAGTTCCAAGTTGAACAATTGGAAAGCATGAATTCCAAGTTGAATAATTGGAAAGCCTCAGCCTTAAGTCAAGTTGTCCAAAAGACTTTAATCCAATCTATGCTTTAGTCTTTGCCATTTGGAGAGTTGTTGGGCCCCTGTTACAAGGCCTCTTTGGAGAGGTGGGATTTCTAATTAGCCCTATCTCTCCAAAATAGTGTCCCTTGGATCCAAGAAAATACAAACTTCTTCCTGATATCTCAGCCAAGTATTGAAAAGCAAAAAGGTGGGCCAGCCAGTGGCTCACCGAATTTGCAATCGGTGGCCCACCGAGCAGAGTCCACCATTTATTTAGTGGCACACCAATTAATCGGTGGCACACCATTTGCAAACCACCAGTTATGGTTCGCTTAGCCATGAAGAAAATTTTCATAAATGCCCATTATACCCCTCAGCTCAAATATAAATAGGGGTCCCTCCTATGTTATTTCTCATTTCATTCTCCATTTTATTTCAGTATATAGTGTATACAGTGTGTTGAATGGAGTATTGAGCTGGGTGTATTCGGTGCTGGGTACGGGTGTAATTCCAATGAGGTCATTTTGTATTTTCTCCTATTTATAGTGAGAAGGAAGCTCCTACCTGTTGCCCATGGATGTAGGCAATTTGGCCAAACCACGTAAATCTGGTATTCTCTCTTCTTTCTTTCTTTATTGCTTTCTACTTTTATTTGTTTCTGTGCACGTACTGATTAAGTTATTTCCGTTGTGCAACTCCAACAATTGGTATCAGAGCCACACAGTTCTGTTTCGGGATTCTGCCAAAATTTGTATTTGTTATTCCAGTATTGCACGTGTTGAATATGGCGAGTTCGAGCTCTACCCAGTTCGACATACCGAAATTCAACGGATCCAACTATGCAATCTAGAAGCTGAAGATGCATGCTATGTTGGTGAAAGAAGATTGTGCAATTGCCTTAGAAGGAAAAGAGAATAAGCTTGTTGATATGAAAGACGAATATTTTGAGAAGAAAAAACAAATAGCCATGGCTAATATTCTTCTTGCTTTAGAATATTCAGTTCTATTCAACGTGCCCGAGGAAACCACTACCAAAGGTTTATGGGATAAGTTGTGGAATCTCTACGAGGAGAAATTGATGTCCAACAAAATCTTTCTCTAGCAACAACTCTATAATTTGAGGATGAAGGATGGAGCCTCTCTGCAAGTACACTTGAATGAGTTCAACACTATAGTAAGCAAATTAGCAGCTGTAGAGGTACATATTGATGACAAAGAAAATGTTGCTCTTTTTCTTTGCTCTATGCCAAACTCTTGGAATAGTTTGATAATGAATTTGAGCAATACTAAAGATCTGTCATTAGAATCTACTATTTCTATGTTGCTTACGGAAGAATCTCGTAGAAAAGTTGGTGAGAATTCTTCAGGTGATGCAATGATGGTACGAGGTAAATCGAATGAGAGAAACGGCTCTACCAGAAATCAAACGAGATCTAAGTCAAGAGGCAACAAGAAAGGACTCAAGTGTTGAAACTGCGTTAAGAAGGGGCACCTTCGAAAAGATTGTTAGCAACCCAAACCAGAGCAAAATCGGCCCAACTCTAACAAAGATCTGGCTTCAAATAATTCACAAGAAAACATCATAGAAGGAAGTGATTCATCAGAAGATGGTGAAGTACTATTTGTTTATTCTTGTGAAAATTTAAAGCATAACTGGATATTAGATTCCAGTGCTTCTTTCCATATGACGTCGTGTAGAGATTGGTTCTACGCACACCAATCGTGCGATGGTGGG